CACTTGCACGGAAATTGATAAGGTTAACAGAAACTTCCTATGGGGAGATGAGGAAAATGCAAGAAAAATTCACTTGGTGGCATGGGATGAAGTGTGTAAACCAAAACAAGAGGGGGGGTTAGGCTTGCGAATGGCAAAGGACATGAACATGGCTCTGGTGGCAAAATTAGGATGGGAAATTATCCAAAAAAAAGCCCAAAATCTGGGTTTCAGCCCTAATAGAAAAATATTTGAAAAATGCCGACCTTTGGGAAGTGGAGCTTAAGCCAACAGCCTCTCACATTTGGCGAAGTATTGTACGAACGAGACAAATCCTTGCGAAAGGGGCTCGCTGGAAAATCGGGAATGGAAATAGAACAAGATTTTGGTCAGATGTGTGGGCGGGTGAAAAACCACTTAGCAGCATGGTTGACTCACAACTTCCTATGGAGGCGATTGAAATCAAAGTGTCCAACTACATCTTGCAACAAGGGGAATGGAATATCGAGGCTCTTGAATCAATACTAGACAACAATGTGCTAGAAGTGGTCAGAGCAGTCCCTATCCCTATAAAAAAGAATCAAGAAGACAGTATCTTCTGGGGGATGTCTGAATCAGGAGGTTTCACGGTTAAATCAGCCTATTCATCGTTTCTCACCACAGATTCAGATGTAGACACCGATTGGATTTGGAAAATCCAAGTAGCTAAAAAAGTAAGACTGTTTGTGTGGCTGGTTTGGAAACAGAAGATACTTACAAATACAGAAAGAGTTCATAGACGTCTAACAGAAGACGCCACTTGCCCGGTTTGCAAATTGGGCGAAGAATCCATTCGCCACCTTTTCTGGGACTGCGAGCGGGCTAGGGAGTGCTGGAAACTGCTCTGTCTCCCTCCCCACAAAAAACTGGAACAATTTAACGACGTCGGGGATTGGTTGAAACAAAATTGCAAAGTGAAAGAAGGCCACCATGCTACACATGGATCAATATTTGCTTATCAAATCTGGAACCTATGGAAGGCCCGAAATGAGGTGGTCTTTAACAACATACATTACCCGCCACACATTATTAGTAGGTGGGCATCTTCTCAAGCTCTAGAAGCATGCACTAGCCTCCGATCAACCCATCACCAGGTACATAAGGTCCCGAGAATGGTCAAATGGAGCCCGCCATGTCAGGGGAAGTTAAAAATTAATACCGATGGAGCCTTTAAAGAAAACGGGGTGGGCGTCAGTGCAGGCGGGGTTTTTTGCAATGAAAACGGGGAATGGATAATGGGTTTTCTCATCAATGTTGGACAAACAAATAGCTTTGGCGTAGAGCTTTGGGGTTTGAGACAGGGGCTCGTCTTAATCAAGGATAATGGATGGACAGAGGTGGAAGTTGAAATGGATTGCAAGGCAGCTATCTTAGCAGTTAAGAAGCACACATCGGAAGAAGATGATAATTCGGCCACACTTGTGGAAGATTGTCGTTACTTAATGCAGGACTGTCCAGGTTTGATCTTACGACATATTCTACGAGAGGGCAATAGGTGTGCAGATTTTCTTGCTAACTTGGCACACTCGGCTCCAAGGGGACTAACTATTCTACAATCACCTCCTATAGGCCTCGAAAAGATCCTTTGGGAAGACGCAAATGGCTTAGAATTTCTGAGATTGTAACTTTTTTTCTCTCTTTTTGTTCGCTCTTTTCCATTCTGATGTACCAAAAAAAAATATGAAACCGGGAGCGAAGCTCACCAAGTAATGGCTTGGGTGGAGCTTCACTCTATTTCCATTAGAGTGAGATCAAAACTCAATTTACTTCTCGTGTATAGGCTATTCGATCAATTCTTGTAACATAGGTATGGGTGGACCGGTTCCGGTTCGGGCCCGGTTTAGGCCTGGGCCCGGCCGGGCCTCGGTTCAAGAATGGGAGGCCCGGAACCGGCCCGAGTAATCCCGGGTCCGGGCCGGGCCGGGCCTCGATTCTAATTTTTTTTTTTTTTGGCTTTTCCTAATTAACCCCCAACCCTCCCCCCTCACCCCAAACCACCTCAAATGGCCCAAAATACCCAACCCAACCCAAAAACTTAAAAAAAAAATCAAAAAAAAAAAATGGCCCGAACCGGTCCGAACCGGCCGGGCCGGTTCACCAATCCTAGGGCCCGAGCCCGAACCACATTCCTACCGAGCCGGGCCAACCCGAACCGCCTCCCGGACCGGTTCCCGGGCCGGGCCGCCCGGACCAGTTCCCGGGCCGGGCCGCCCGGCCCGAGTCCATCCCTAAACATAGGCCCTCAGGATGGGGCATCATCCTATTTTTATGAATGAGCATATGAAAAAATGGGAAATTTTGGAGCTGCATGCATGATGTACTACGGAAGTGCGGAGTATTATACTGTTATACGTAGTAGATTATATTTGCTTTTAGCTTGGACTTAAGTTTGTAGTTATTATTTATTTATTTAATAATTAAATAAGACTTTAATTGAAATAGAAAAGACAATAGTTTGCCAAAAATGTCAGCGTATGTAGGGATGGACTCGGGCCGGGCCAACCGGCCCGGAACCGGACCGGCCCGCTACTGTGCGGGCCCGGACCGGCCCGGTGAACCGGTTCGGTTCCGGTTCGGGCCTCCCGGCCCGGTTGTATACCGGTCCGGGCCCGGGCCTCCAGTTTAGTGAACCGGCCCGGCCGGGCCGGGCCCGGTTCGGGCCGGAATTTAATTTTTTTTTTTTTTTTTTGAAATTTTTTTAAGTTTTGGGTTGGATTAGGTATTTTGGGCCATTTGAGGTGGTTTGGGGTGGTTTGGGGTGGAGGGGGAGGGGTAGGGGGTTAAATAAGAGAAGAAGAAGAAAAAAAAAACATTCCGGGTGGCCCGGCCCGGCCCGGCCCGGCCCGGTTCTGGCCCGGAACCGGAACCGGAACCGCCCACCACCGGTTCGGGCTCGGGCCTCCTTTTTCTGAACCGAGGCCCGGCCGGGCCCAGGCCCGAACCGGGCCCGAACCGGAACCGGTCCACCCCTAAGCGTATGTGATGACTCAAATTAGAAAAATGTAGGATTAGAATCATTTAGATGATAGAATAAATATTTCTTGTTTTAATGGTCCTTTTTAGTTTCTTGAATGATGCACGAGAACTGCCCATAAGATCACTCACTCATCGTCAATTGCTAAGTTCTTTCTTAACCATTTAATTTAAAACGTTTCAATAAACACTCTGAAATACTACGTAGTAAACAATAAGCTACGTAGTATAAGAAACTTACCAATTGACAACAAATTAAAAGAAATCTAAACTATATACTCCGTAGTAGACCTGCACAAAAGCGGGCTCGGGCCGGGCTCGGGCCGGGCTTTTCATAAGTTTTTTACCCATGGTGTGTGGGCGGGCCCGGCCCGGCCCGCAAAAACGGGCCTAACCCTATGTCCATACCCGCCCGTAAGAGCGGGCCGGGTAGTCCACCGGGCCGCCGGGCCCGGGAAGACTTTAATTTTTTCAAAATTATATAATTTATTTAATACTTTATAAATAATATTAAAACATTTAAAAAATTGCTAATACGCTTATAATGTATATAGACCTTTCATCACATACACAAAAAATATTTACACAAAAATAATAATGAGAAACTATATCTAAAATTTAAAATTCATGCACAAAGTATTATCGTTAAGTACAAAAATAGATATTATATTGGTTGGACTATTTGTTAAGAACTAAAAACTAAAATTTAAACATAATAAACTATAAATATGTATACAGAAAAATTAGTAAATATAAAAATATACATGTGTACATGTAAATAAATACATAAATTAGTATATAAAAAATATATATGTATATATACTAAATGTAGCGGGCCGGGCTTATCGGCCCGAACGGGCCTACACCCTAACCCAAGTTCGCCCATATGTTGTTGCGGGCCGGGCCCGGGCCGGGCCGGTGGGTAAATATATATGCCCAAGCCCGCTAATTTGTGCGGGCGGGCTGGGCGGGCCGGGCGGGCCGGCCCGGTTTTGTACAGGTCTACTCCGTAGTACAGAGTAGATAAAGGGAACAAATGAACAATACCAGCCTCTGGGAACTTTATTTCACACCTTCACACAATTACACAGTTGATTTGCTGGGTAAGACTCTAGGGATGGACCCGGTTAGGCGGTCACGGACCGACTCTAGGGACCGGAACCAGACCCGCCACTGTGCAGGACCGAACCGGATCCGGTTTTCCAGTCCTAGGCTTGGACCGGGTAACCGACCAGGGTTCAGGCGCTCTCGGTCTTGGGTAGGGTGTTTGGGGACCGGACCGGGCGGTCCCGGTCCCAATTCCAGTCACAACGGCCATTTTATTTTATTTTATTGGATTTTAATTAGGGGTGGGGCTGGGGTCAAACTAGCCGTTTGGAACGGCTAGTAACGGCTCTTTGGCACTTGGGGAGGGGTTTGGGGGTGGGGGGTTACCAGAATTTTTTCCTATATATACCTACTCATGCATTTTATACATTTTTTCACACTACACCAACTAACACCATTCTACTTCTATTCAAATTCTATACATTAAATTGAAAAAAAAATACTGGACCCCCCAGGACTGGAACCGGGTACGTTATACCCCGGGTCAGTTCCGGTCTTTACAAATAATACCCGGGACCGGCCGGTCTAGGACCGGCCGGTCTAGGACCGGAATCGGGACTGGGTCCATCCTGAGTCAACTCACAAGGTATATATAGATATAGATAACGACAGTACTCTAGTCCTTCAGGAAACATAGTAACTCTTACTTAGGGAAAACACACTGTTTTACTACTATTTTAGCAAACTTCCCAATATACAATACCCTCTCTTTTCCAACCAGTTTTCCTACCATATGAATGTATGATATGATCAAATAAAAAAACAAAACTTAAACTCCTAATTCACAAAACTTCAGAACTTATGCATATAACTTATAGAGGTAATGAACAGTTCTCAAAACTTCAAAACACATTTTCACTAAAATTAAACCTGCCATATTCCAATAATCAAACTAAAATTCATCGTGGTTGCTCATTAGAGCAATGTGAACAGAGTTGTCTCAATGTGATGGGAAGGAAATGAATGAAATTAAGGCTTGATTCAAAGGAGATAAATACTCTTTAGAAGAAGAGAAGAAACGAATGAAGAATGAAAGAGAAAGTAAGAACTGTGAATCCAGTGTGCCCACAGGAGTAACAATTGCTCTACTCACAATTTTGGAGAGTTGGAAGTCATAAATACAAAACATAATGGATCAGCAGGTGAGAAAAAGACTATTAGAATAATTACAGGTTTTAGAACTAAGATAAATGATATCAACAATAAAGGCTATGTTTGGCACAACGAGCTAGAACTGCATGCTACACGCTAATGTCTGAATTAGGGACTATTATCTGAATCAGATACTATTGTCTAGAGTTGGGATAATATAAAATTACATTAACGGACATATGATTTATTAATAGATTAAAATATTCATTATAATGATTTTTATATTTTCACCCTTTTAATGTGTGTGTGTAATATTTTTGAATTTATACATGTATATGTAATATAAACATCTCACCCTTGTTTGTATATATTAATTGTCTATGCGTCTGTCCTCCAAAAATAATTTTATTCATGTGGTATGGAAAAGAAGGTGGACAGATAGTCTTCAAAGCAATGAGCAGAGAATGATTAATGGTCTTCATCGGGTATATGCACGGGGTACTTTGGGATCGGAAGGTATTATATGATCCGCTTATTAGAAACGCTAGCGTTACAAACGTTTTGATTCAACCTGGTTTTTTATTTTCATCCAGGTTTAGACTTGCATCCAAACAGGGCTAGTTAAATAATTAGGGGGGATTTGATTTTGCACCCCACTTTTTGGGTGATATTGGACTTTGCACCCCATTTTCAAAAAAAAAAACTTTGATTTTGCACTCCATTCCACTTAAAAATCCTTTGACTTTGTATCCCATTTATAATGTTTTTTTCACAAAATGTTATGTGTTGGGGTGCAAAATCAAAGTTTTTTCAATATGGGGTGCAAAGTCTAATATCACCCAAAACGTGGGATGCAAAGTCAAATTCCCCCAAATAATTATTAGCTGAAATAAAGAAATTTCAGCCCATAGCCAAAAAGAAGAAAACATTATGGGAAGAGGGAGCATATAGCTTACCTCCAGCACCGCCTTTTGCATGCTTGACTAAATAACTGCCTCAAAAAAGATTTTTAGTTGAACTTATGCAGACTCAAAACTTTTGACAATACAATTCTGAGTCTGCCAATGAATGAAATTATTAATAGTATGATTAACTATGTACACCACTATTAGTGTGTCTTGGAGGAACAAATCGCCATAGGTCCACTGCAATGTCCACTTCCTTTTTCTTGTGAAATTTGTATAGCTTTGGCACATCGTATCGTAGCTGGAAAATGGAAGAGAATCAATTCGTATAGTTGACCACTCTATAATGTGAACAGCTATCCATACCTCACATATAACCTCGGCGCTAATAGCATTGTAATCTTGCAATGCAGCCCGTCTGATGTGCTGTAATTACCACCAAATGAGTAAATCAGGTAAGATTGTGTTTGTTACCTTCCTGATTTCTCTGGACATTCCATGAACAAAAACATTATAGAGGCACCACGAAAATCTAACAGCCTTAGAGGACTCCGTCAATCAAGTGCGAAATTGTAACCTGTTTATGTGAAGGCCTAAATGAGTAATTGTGCATAGTTGGAGGCACTGTTCTTAAAGCCGAACGCCTGCCTAAGTTGGGCTAGGCGCTGTGTGGTGGTCGGCATGCCCTGATTTTTCCAAGTTGTTTAGGGAAATCAGTCAACCAATTAGATCAGTACAACGCCATCAGTTCTGATCCATCATTGAACTATACCAATGACTCAAAATTCAAAACACAACCTTTTATTTTATTTTAGAAATTTATTAGTTAGTTTATGAAGCATTCTTTTTAAGAAATAACATGATACTACGGTATTTTTTTAAACTAAGAAAATAAGATAATTGAATATCTCTCTTTGTTTCTATTGGAGGTTTTAAGACTTCAAGTCCTTATAAATATACAATAAGGACATAGAATATTCCAATAATGTAATATTGGATAATGGTATCCTAGAGCATATTCTTCAAAATTTCTAAAGCATATTCATATAATATTCTAAAGCATATTTCACAATATTTAAGAATTATATGAACATTTCTTATTAGCAACATATATATAACCCAATAATAAATAACACTAGAAGTCATAAATAACTTAGGGAGACGAGCTGTGCCCAGGCGATGAGCTTGGAACTGGGCAGCAGGTCACCGCCCACTAGCACATAACACCTTTTAGAACATTTGGTGGGAGGAAACTTGATATTTCTTTCTTATCCAATCAATGAAGCAGACAGATATTGAACCATTTTCTATGGAAGCGTAGAGGAGTTACATTTTGCTTTAATTTTACATATGAACATGTGATGGTTCAAAACACATTTTAAGCTTGCATGACTAAATGGTAGAGTTGATAGGTTAGGAAGACTTACTTCTCTAGTTGTAGTCTTGTGTAACGAATAAACTGCATGGGAGGCAACCTAACAACAACAAAAATTAGAAACTAAATTTCATGCATACGGATGAACAATAACTGAAACTCCAAATTTAACAACATTGCTCCCACCTTCAACGCCACAAAAAGGAAATCCATGTCAGCACCTTTCTTCCGTGTTCCAAATGGTGGGTTCATAACAACAGTATCAAACATTTGGCCTACACAGAGTTAACATCAACTTATTGGCTTAATTCATGCTTTTGTTTCATTAATTGGTAGAGACGGTAGAGTTGAGTTAGGTTAATTTTAGACAACTAACTGACACTAAATTTCATTTTACCAACCCTAGTGCAGTAGGGATTAAAGCGATTATTATGAATAGGAGTTACTTTTGGCCTCTTCATTTAAAAACCTCAATCACGCATTTTCTTTTTTAACCTAAAAATTGTCCCCTGGCAAGTGGAAAATGAGCGTAGTAATGATTCATTCCTTTTGAATCTTGAAACTGCCTATAACAACTATCTTCTCAACACGCAATTTGCATCTTTACATGTCATTCCTAGCCATCATGAAAATCAATTCTATGATATGAAAATAAAAGTGCTTAACAATATTAAACTTATACATGAAGACTTAACAAGTGGATTAGTAGAAGAGCAGTAAACAATCTAAAAAATTCAGTGATATTAATATCCTTTATAAAGTACAAATTCGGAAACCAACAGTTTATGAAGTACAAAGCGACACAGGTACCTTTCCATTGATATTTACTAATATCACATTGAACAAAATCCATATCTACCTGCAGGAATAATAAAAATCAATTGAACAACTGTGGTGCTACTTGAGAGTACCTTTCAAGAACCCCACTAGCCATCAATAGAACCAAATAAAAATAGAGTAGGGATCAATTCTAAGAATCAAGAAACAAGCACCTCAAGGTTTTCAGCATTTGCAACTGCAATCTCAAGAGACTCGCTGTCTATATCAAGACCAATAACATGTCTATTGCGATGGATAATTAAAAAAATTATTAGCAGAATTTTATAAATTCCAAAAAAAGAATCTAAACTGACATAAATGACTTAATTACTCATAAAGTACAGTCTCAAAGATCGAATTTTTAGCTTTTTCTAATTAATGGAATACTCGGGGGATAGTGCATTAGTGTTATCCACTTACTCTGCTTCTAAGAGAGCTGCACCAATGCCTAAGGTACCACAACCACAACCAAAATCCGCAACTACCTTATTGCTCACATCCCCATATGAAGTTTCAGCCTAAACTTATCACAGAAAGAAAACACGATTTCTTAAGAACGGCAACACTCTAAAATTGCTCGCAATACTAAATGGGAATCAAACTTAGGGGGTGTTTGGAACTGATTCTGATTCTGCTTCTTTTTTAAAGTAGAAGCAGAATCAGAATCAGTATTCAGAAGCTGGTCTCCACCAGTTTCTAAAAAAACTAATTCTAGGAGTAACAACAGAATCACTTCTGTACTTTCACCCAAACACTCCAACTTGCTTCTGCTCCCTAAGCAGTTTTAAGAATCAAATACAAACACCCCCTTACAATCAATTCCAAGAACAAACTAAACAAAAGGAATCTGTAGAAAGTATAAAAACATAGCAGATTTTACAGTGTATAGCACCCGGGAAGCTATGTGGGCTCCAGTTGGGTATTGTTCGAGTTCAATCTGCCATAAAACAGAAAATCTAATATTCAAAGAAAAACCATAAAAATAGACATTCATCCATAAGCTTATAGAAAGAAAGATCATACCTTGGGCTTGGTGAACTGTTCAAGAGAACCAAGAAGCCCCTCTAGCTGCTTCAGCTTCATTTTCACCTGCTTAATTCTGCAACAGAACCTCGTATGCCACTTCTTTTTCTTGAATGTGATGTGATGGAGTCAAAATTGAACCTCTGTTTTGGGCCAAGGCCCATATCGTTTTGGGCTCTGGCTGTTTTCGGAAGTGGTGGTCAACGGTAATCATTATCAAACTCTGACCCGAATAATTGTAAATGGTCGAATCCGGTAATCGTAATTGATCAAATTATATAGATATATAATTGTTCGAATTGGATAACTCTAAATGACAGGTCAAATAAATATGGGGAATTCTATTCACAACCTCTGAATTGCTAAACGCAGTCACCAATTAATTAAAATGTCTAATTTATCCTTAGTACTCCGTATAACTATTCCTCCTGTATATTCCACAAGTGATCGATGCGATCATGCGACGAGCCAAGGCCGGCAAAAGCCTTATTTTCCTTTCCAAAAGTTTGCATCTCTTTGAATTTCACATCTCCCCTCTTAACTAATGAACTAAATTCAGATCTTTGCACCAATAATGTTATTGCATTCATAGAGTTGTAGGATCTTTTTTTATATTGCATTCTTTATGTATTTGCAGAACAATTTTTATAAAAAAAATGTATTTGCGGAATAATTAAAGAATAATTAATACTCCGTATTATGTAATTGAAGATCGATTCACAAATCACAAGTTATACTGTTCATCTTCATTTCTCTTTTTCACTATCTGGCCAACATAGTGGTTCTCCTTTAAGATTAAGCAAAATAATGAAGTTCAGCAATTGAAATCCTCCATACCCAGGTGTTGCATAGGGTTATGAACTTATGATACCATACCAAATCAAATAATTTGAATATATAATACTCCGTATTTGTTAGACTATATAATTCGAATAATCAAAATCTTTCGAGTGATGCCATTAAGATAACATAAAAAAAACAAATTAAATTTATGGGTTTCCCCTGACGTGAACAAATGGAAAATTTTGAGGTCTTAAATTATAAAAAGAAATTCAAGGAGCCTCAATGGTTCGATCTGTTCTTGGAAGATTCGTTTCTCTTAGGTCTCTTCATCTGCATCTCACGCATAGCTTCAAGGGCACATATCAGGTAGGACAAATTGGCGGACGAAGGGTTTTTGTATCAATGGATTTGATTTAACAAGAATGGTAAAATAGGTATTTAAGTTAATAGTGTGGCTGTGATTAGCAAATGTGGGGCTGCAAATAGAACCACCCATAAATATAATTGACCGGTCTAATAATTGTAACTAGCGGGTCAGATAATTTTAAGGGAAAAGTACATGAAACGTACCTATGGTTTGGATCATTTTCAGATAGGGGCATGTGTTTCAATTTCGTTATCATAGCAGGGGCATGGCATCTAACGCCGTTAGAAAATTTAACCCCGGTTTTAAAAAGTCTCCGAAAATTTAAAAGAAAAATACTGGGAGGTGCACCTCGTCAAGGAGATCAACAAACTATCTTTATTTTTTTGTTTCTAGCCACCATATCTCTAGAAAGTCCACCAGAAAATTTATATTAGCGAATTTGTTTTTAAAAAATAATCCAAATAGAGGCGAAAAATCCAAAGAGAAAGATAGTTTGTTGATCTCCTAGACGAGGCGCACCTCCCAGTATTTTCATTTTAATTTTTCGGATACTTTTTAAAATCGGAGTTAATTTTTCTAACGGCGTTAGACGTCATGCCCCTGCTATGATAACGGAATTGAAACACATATCCCACTTTGTTAGAAAATGAAATACATGCCCCTATCTGAAAATGGCCCAAACCACAGGTAGGTTTTCTGTACTTTTCCCTAATTTTAATTGACCGGTCGAGTAACTATGATTGACGGATCAAGTAATTGTAACTCGCGGAGAAAGTAATTGTAACTGACGGATCAGATAAATGTGAATGGCGGATCGAGTCCGGTCGATTTTTTTTGTCACTGACGCACTATTGGTCATTGTATCATTTTAGCACTAATGAGTGAGATTATTATATTAGTACAAGGGTATAATAGTCTCTTATCATCTTTTTAGTCTCATTTTTTGAAATTGAGAAAGGTAATTTTTTGTGCAAAACTCATTTGTAGTAATATTTTTTACATAACCCCTTATATTTATACACACACACATAATAGAGATCAAATACAAATCCTTCTTAATTTACAAACTACAAACTCATCTTGGTCATCCGTTGAGTTGATCTAAAAGCTATAAAGGCACAGTGGCATTTTTGTAATAAAAGTCAACTTTTTTAGGTTGCAACTCTTTGAACGTTAATATGATGTTTCCATAATATGGCTGAATAATATGTAACACTTTGAATCTCAATATGCAATACAAATAACGTAAATATGTATCGTACAAACGTTTTCACAATAAGCATAGTTTGTAGCTAATTTTCCCCTTATACGGAGAGAGAGAGAGAGAGAGAGTGTGTGTAGGGGAGGGAGGGAGAGAGGGGGGGGTCAGGTTTGTTTGGGCCTCTTTCCTGTGGAACTTTTTGATGCCATTTTTTGGGCATGTTCTTCATCAAGTTTAGTTTATACCCATCAAATTTCATCTAAAAAGTCAATCTGAAAGGCAGTAAAATAATTTTTGAAAGATAAATGCATTTTATATGTATGTTTTTGTAAATACTTGTGAAAATTTGCATTGAAATATGCAACCTAGCACGGTGGCATTTTTGTAAATACCTGTGAAAATTTTGTATTACATTTGTGTAGTGTAATATGAAGTTATTTTGATGCAACATCACCAAATTTTAGTGCAAGATGAAACAGTTTTAGTGCATTGCAAAATTTAAATCCTATTGTACCATTGAGTTATTTTAGTGCAAAACCGTAAATGTAACGGCTAAGATTTATTTCCATATCTCGCATTAGATGCATTTCTCACTTTAGTTAAAATGTATATGTATATATGTAGAGAGAGAGTTTGGTTCTGATAATGTTGACTCTGATTCATGTTAGGGGATGCCAAAATATTTTGAGGATATGGATTGAATATTGTTTGTGTCTATATAGAGTTTAGATCATTTGAGAATACAATGGAAGACATGAGAATGACTTTTAACTCTTTGATCAACAATTGTTTTCACATATCCCTAATTGTACGTATAGAGTTGTTATGTCATTTCTTCTGCCTTGTCATGTTTAGTAGTAGACACATACTTCTAACTCCATTAATTAATTCATTCGATGGTCATCAATCTTTATTTTCTCTTCATTGTTTGGTTATTTTTATACTTTATCCTCATTAACTTTTTGACGTAATGTATATAGGATTATTTTGCAGATTAAATTTATTTGCTCTATGCTTCTTAATTTATATATTGGTTATTATACTTTAGGCTCTATAATACTCTGTACTATTTTGAACATGTAATTAGTATAATTGAATTCAAACATGCTCTTCAATTTGTGAAATACTCCGTATAAGAGATTATTAAATTTAGTACGGAGTGCGGAGTAATATTTACCAATGTGCTTTTATTTAAGCAATTTTGTGCATTTCACAACTTAACAATATAGTCATTTAACAGATTTGTACACATTTATTTAAACTTTTGATGCACTTATCCTACTTTTTCCATACACTTTTCAATCGTTTTTATTTTACTTTTTTGCTAATAAAGGTTGACAACAAAAGACGTCATCATAATGAAACAATATGATGCCTTTAGAAGAAGAGTGATTTTCATTTTGTAAAAAGTGACAATGTAAAATAATCCGTAATAGAAAATGTGATATATTATTACACTTTTCTACATATTTACAATACACTTATGCACGTTATAAAAGTGCATTGCATTAATTTGGTAAAAGAGTGCCAATTTTAGAAAGTGTGCTATACTAGCACACTTTTATACTTAAAATGCATGTGATAATTGATACTTCGTAGTTTATATGCTTGTTTATTTGTATGAATGTGGACAACAACATGGATAAAGTGTGGCTAATGTTGTAAAAAGGGAAAACTAAATATTACTCTCTCTGCTTCGCTCAGATTGTCCCATTTTTCCTTTTTGGGAAATCTAACTGAAATTGTCTTGTATCAAATTTGGTAAAGTTTGTGTAGTTCTAAATCATTTTTACTTTATTCTTAATTTATCAATTCAATATCGACCACATAAACTCACCTTTCTTAATAACCGTGTCACTCTCGCATGTCTTAATGTTAGTGAGACGAACGTAGCATACTATAAATAAGGTGCATATATATATGTATATGTATATATATATATATATATATATATATAGAGAGAGAGAGAGAGAGAAATCATCATGTCAGGCCGGCCTGACGGGCTGCCCCGTCCGGCCGAGCCCGTTTGGGCACCTTCCCGGTGGAATTTTTTGATGAAATTTTTTGAGCATGTTCCTCATCAAGTCTAGTTTGTCCATACCAAATTTCAGCTCAAAATTCGATCGGGAAGGTCATCAAATGATTTTTGCAAGTTAACTGGTCCGGAATATGTATTTTCCGGACCAGTTAACTTGCAAAAATCATTTGACGACCTTCCCTATCGAATTTTGAGCTGACATTTGGTATGGACAAACTAGACTTGATGAGGAACATGCTCAACAAATTTCATCAAAAAATTCCACCGGGAAGGTGCCCAAACGGGCTCGGCCGGACGGGGCAGCCCGTCAGGCCGGCCTGATGAGAAGAGCTCTCTCTCTCTCTCTCTCTCTCTCTATATATATATATATATATATATATATATATATATATATATATATATATATATATAAATTACTCTGTACTATATAAGTAAAGTGCATTTATAAAACCTCCTCGAAGCTGATTAATTGTGCATAGAATTTAACTTGTAGTGCTAATATAACAAAGAACCTTATTGGTTAGTGGGGTGATTACCTTGAGAAGTAGAGGATGCTTTGAATAGTCCCTTTGGTGGATTGAAATCCTTTGGTATAAAATTGAAGCTTTGCAAGGCATTTTTTTGCCAGTTTTGTTAGGGTTGATTTCAGGTATATTCCTATAAGGTACACTTGTCTACTCCTACAATCGGTAGTGAGGGTACTACGGACCTCTTGTCATTCATTGCAGCAGAGCCGTTTTGAGTAATACACTACTCCAAACAAGCAGTTTTTAATTTTGCTTGTAGTGACAATTATTCAAAATATTATGTTCATTAGAGAGGAGAACCGT